GGATTTTTCCCGCGCTCGTATTATAAATAAAGATAAAGATAATTTTTGCCTGCATTTTTCTCTGAAATAAAATGAAAGTGATGGTTTCTGCCATGGGAAACTCACACAAACGCTTTTAGAATTCCCCCTTGATTCACGTTTTGTAACTCCCCGGGTATATCGACCCCAGAATTTTCCCGGTAGAAAAAGGGTCGATGACACCCCTCCTAAATTTCTAAGCCCCCTTTCATCTTGAATTCACCCGGAAGTCGTAGAACCGTGCTCTTGTCAAAACGGTCACCAAAGAACAACTAGATTTTCGATTTTTTTTTTTTTTTTTTTTTTTTGTTGCTTTTTGTATATTCTAAACGTCTCAACAACCCCTTCCTTTTTGCGAAGAATGAAAAGAAAAAATTTTTCGAAAAATTCTTTTTTCTTAGTGTATTCTTCTATTTTTTGTCAGAATTTTATTTACAAAAAAAAAAGAATTTTTTCTAACTAAAATTAGCACTGAAAAAAGTAGAATTTTTTGTAAATAAAATTAGGATTAAAAAAAGTAGATTACTCTAAGAAAGAAAATTTATTAGATTCAAATAATGGATTACTTGGCTAGTAACAAATAAATATTTACTTGAATCAAAGAATTTTTATTCAAATATAGATCAAATTAAATTAAATATGGTTGAAATAATAAATTGTATATTAAAATCAATAATTTTATTATTTGGAGCAAATGCTATTTATTTGATTTGAATAAAAATTCTTTGATTCAAGCAAATATTTATTTGCTAGTAGACAAGAAATCGATTATTTGGATCAAAAAAATTTTTTCCACTGTAGTTAAATTAATCTAGTGAATTAATAAAGAATAAATTTTCTTAGTTTAAATTATAATTTTCAAAAATATCTCTTATTTTTTGAAAATAATAAGAAAATAATAAAATAATCTCTTATTTAGTTTAATATAATATGTATTATCAATTTAATAATTAATTAATTTTTTTGTCAAATATTTTAAAGAAATTATTATTGTTAAATTATTATTGTTAAAATTATTGCTAGATACAAAATTCTGTTTGTACAACAAAAATTATTTAATTCAAACAATTATTTTTTTGATTATTATATAAAATAAATATTTATTTACGAATTCTTTTATTCTTAGAAATATTTCTTTAAAATATTTATTTATACATTTTTAACATAATATTTCTTTATAAAATATTTTGATGAAATAGTTATTAGAAACATTTATTTTGAACCCAATTGTTACAAAACTAAATAAATACAGAAACAACATTTATTGGATAATACTCAAATAATTGATTATTTCATTTAGATAAATTTAACTAACCAATTATTCAAAGAAAGTATTTTTTTATGTAAAAAAAAGATAAATTAATTTTTTTAATGTAAAACGATAATCCTTTCTTAAACAATTGTGCTTTTTTAAAAATGAAATGTATGAAATAATAATTTAATTAAATAGAAATAATATTTTCAATATTAAATATTTAATACTAAAAAATAATAAAACGAATTGTAAATAATATTATTCTTATTAATAATAATAATATTTAATATTAATGTTGATATTAATTTAATATTCATTTTATTTATTTGATATTGAATATTAAATACTTAATATTCTACAATATAAACAAGGATATGTGGAAAGTATTTTAAATAAAGAAAAAAATATAAATAAATTTATTATAATTTATTATTAACAAATAAATTTAAATAATAATCAAAACAATAAATTAAAAAATATTTAACAATTAAAAACAATTCAACTTAAAAAAAAAGGAAATATTTTACCACTATAATAATTTTTCAATTACTCCAAAAAAATTTTTTTGAGGGGAAAAAATTGAAATTTTCGTCATGATGAAGAAATAAAAACAAAATGGCGTTTGACGCTTTATAGTAATGGCATCGTGGTGTAATTTTGTACAAGAAGGAGGGAAAGAGATAGAGGGGTGGGGAGGGGATTCCCACAAAACCAAGCAAGTGACCCCTATTTTTCGAGGGTTTCTCACCCTTCGTATATGTATATTACATACATACATTGAATACATCCGTATCTATAGAGGGATCAAAAGATATAGAAAATATTTTTCATGAAAATTCCTCGGAAAAATAATCTTCACTTCCAGTTATACTAGTCATGCCATCTGTGTAGTTAACTGGCAAGTGTTGTACAATAACTTATGTTCACTTCGAAGATAAGATACAGTCACATCGCCTTAATATGGTAACTGCCTACGTTACCGCGCTATTTACTTTCGCCAACTAAAACTGTTTAGTTAGTATTTAAAACACTTTTCGAAATCTACTTTAGCTGATACAAATGTACTTTGAAAAAAATATTTAATTTCGATTTTAATTTAATTTTTAACTAAATTTTGATTTTTATTTAATTTCTAACTTAATTTTCATTTTAATTTAATTTCTAACTTAATTTTCATTTTAATTTAATTTCTAACTTAATTTTCATTTTAATTTAATTTCTAACTTATTTATTTTTCATTTTAATTTAATCTTTACTGTCTTTATTTATATATTTATTAACTTTCGAAGTCTGAAATTAGTAAAAATTTTAACCATTATTTCGAAATTAGAAAAACTAAAAATGTCAACCAATTTGAATTTTTTTTTTAATAAGAAATTTTTAACTACAACTTATTCGATATAAAAATTGTCAATTACTACATTTTATAGCAAAAAAAGTCAAGTGAATTTAAATTAATTAAATTTTTTCTAATTCACATTTAAGAACAAGAAGAGACAAAAATGTAGTAATTGTTATTATTATTATTACTGTATAAAAATTATTTAACAAGTTGTACAATTTTTTGTTCCAGATTCAAGAAATTATCGAGATGAACGTCATTACGAGTTATATCGTCAATTAGAGTGAAATCTTTTATCGACTCAAATTGATAATAAATTCTGAATTAATGATTTTCTTCAATGTATATAACTTTCACAATTCAATGAGTCTCTAACAAAGTGGAAGATATTCTAATTAACAATGAAATATATTTATTTATAATCACTATAATAACAATAATACTTTCAATAATAATAATAAGAATAATTTTAATTAATAATTACTACTATTTCATTATTTATTATTATATTTAAAATTAAAACTATAAAATTTATGTTCTCATTTATTTTCATTATGAAATTGTAAAAAAATAATTAAAGAAAAAATTAGTTAATTGTACGAAAACAATTATTATCATAGTAATTTTAATATTTATGAATAAAATCAAACTTATGTAGTGCAAACAAAGCATAGGAATTATGCAAATTTTTTTATTCATTTCTAAAAAAAACTCAGTAATTTATTTAAAGTCGTGCTTAAAAAATTAAAAAATTATGCAAATTTTATTACCTTTTTTTAAAATAACATTTAACGTTTTGTTAAATAATTTCAGAATTTTTTTAGAAATAAATAAACAAATATACATGATACCGATTTGTCATAACAAAATTTTTCAACAAAACATTTTTTTATAGAAAAAAAAATAAAAAAATTTGTCAGTTATTATGTTTGCATCATTAAAAAATTTTTTCTTTTTTGAAAAAAGGAAAAGAAAAATTTCGTAATTTCTACCTACTAATACCATATACCTTTTTTTTTGAACCTAATAAGATAAAAAAATTTTAAAAACCAAAAATTGCGAAAAATATAATTTTCATAGCCTTGTGTCTAAAAACTTTTTCATACAGTGAATATATAATTACGTAGGAAATAATTATTATTATCTTTACATGAAAAAATAAAAATAACAACAAAAACATTCAACTTGGCAGCGATATTTGATAAATGTTTATAATTTTTACCTCTTTTCAAAACATGGCACAACAAAGTAAAAAAAATTCATAAAATCAGTAATTTTTTGAAAATTAAATTTTAATTTTGTTCAAAAATAAGGTTTTATTTAATTTAAAAAAATTTTTCTGTGGGAGGAATCTATTATAATATTATATTATTTATTTCATTATAATTACTCATTATTTTTTAATGATAATAATGAAAAATAAGGTAAAAAATGTTTATCAACTAATATTTTATTATAAAAGTAAAAAAAAAGTAAAATAAACACATATTACCAATATTCCTTTTTTTCCCGTTAAACGTAAACATTTTCATATTCAAATCATATTTTTTTTAATCGACTTTTGCATAAATTTAAAATGCGTCAAGAAGCATTTTATATTCAATTGTATCTAATATTATATCAACACAAGCAATGAATAGTTGAACTAGACATTGAAAATTTATGAGAAGAAGATGTAGAATAAATAAATCGATTCTGTTATTCAACATTCATTAAAATCCAATGTTGAATAATAGAAAAAAAGGTTTTTACATCCAATGTTGAATAATTAAAAAAAAAAAGGTTTTTACATCCAACAAACATTTTTCTTCGAAAAAGATAAAATATTTTTCATTTTTGAAATTCGAAAACAATTTTTCTATAAAAATTCACTTGGAAAAAAAATTTTTGAATTTTAGAAATTAAACAATTTTCAAAGAAATTTAATTTGGAAAAGAAATTTTCGAACTTTGAAAATTTGAAAACAATTTTGAAAGAAAACTTCGAGAAAAATTTTTTAACTTTGAAATATAAAAACAAAAAAAAATTCTACTCAGAAAAAATCGACTTTATGGAAAGAAAAAAAGAGGCAAACCTTTTTTTAAAACGTTTATTTTTTCTAATCGCAACTTGAAGATTGATGAGAAAAAAAACAGGTTTCTCCAATTGGAAAGTTAAAGAATCACCTGTCTTTTTGTATTTTTTTTTTTCATACACTAATCCGCAATTTCAATTAAAGTATGGTATATGTATATCTATCGTAAATGGCTTTATCCGTGTGTATTTGGACTTGTTTTTTTTTATTAAACGAAAAGATATATACACGTGTCTTGGTGTACTTAAAAACTTAATGATATAAGAATATATATATATAGACACCAATACTGATAATGTGCAACAACACGGTTTAATATTCTGACACCGGTTTTCTTAGAGACAGTCACGATTTTACCTTCGCGAGAATCAAATACGCTGATTATTTCCATTACTCGCATCGGCAGTACCAATTATCTCGTGAGTCGTAACGAATTTCTCATATATTTCTATTCCATATTTTAAAGGAAAATAAATTCGCGAAAATTTTTTTTTCTCGAATGGAGAAAAATAATTCAAAAATTCTCTTTTTACATACATAAATTAAGGAGAGAATTTAAATCATTTTTTTCCACATCAAATTTATTTGGATATTTAAATTTATTTCAATATAAACGCGACTTTAATAAAAAGTTTTTAATTGTAAAAAAAAGTCAAACGTTAAATAGAATTTTTTTATTCCTAGTTCCTGGGATTTGGACATATTCCAAAGGATTTAAAATTAATAACCAAAAAGAAACTACAACCAAATAATTTAGGATTACTTTTTTTTAGTAGAGTGTAAAATTTTATTTATTAATTATTTTTCAAATTTGATTTGAAAATGAATTTGTTGATTCCTATTATTTTGGGATCGATTGTCGTAATTTCCGGCGCGGATCCAATAGTCAAAATAAAAAATGGAACGATCGAGGGTACTTTTATGAAAAGTAGGAAGGGCAGAGAAATCGCTGCTTTCCGTGGAATTCCTTATGCCCTTCCACCTTTAGGAGAATTAAGATTCGAGGTAAGTACAAACAAAAATATAATTTACTATTTAATTTTTTCCTAAACACCCAGAGAAAAATTTTATTTAAATCAAATATAATTTACTTGAATTAAGTAAAAGTAAATTTGTCTCAGAATCTACTAAATTATTTATTTGCTTTAAGTAAAAATTTTATTCCACCCAAATAAAATTTTTATTTGAGACAAAAATTATTTTACTTGAATCAAATAAAATAAAATAAAATTTATTTGGATTTATTTGGTCAGTTGACTTCTACTTTTTTCGATACATTTTTTTTTTGATATCATTATTCCAAGTGATTTGCAATTTGAATTGTTACAATTAAATATTTTGCTCAATAGTAAAAATTTTCTCAAACGAATATGATAATTTTATTCTTGTAAATGTTGAATGAATATTCGCAATTCATCTTCATTTTGAACAAGTTCTGATCAATTTTTTAATTCCTGTATTGCGATTCGATTGCTATATTAATTTTTTTACACATGAATTATGTACTATGCAATTAGCTTTGTCATGAATTATTAGTATGCGACTTTAAAGAACATTAGAACATTGAAATGTAATTTTTATACATTGAATGAAAAACTTAATTGAAATAACCAACAAAATCTAATAAAACCAATTCAATAAATAATCAATAAAATAAATTAATCAATAAAATTGATTACTAATTTGTTTAAATAAAATAAATTTTGTTTCAGTGAATAATTTAAAAATTAAATTCTTCAAAAGAATTTTTATTTTTTAATCAATCTGTATGAACTAGTGTTTAGTAAATCATTTGATAATCCCCTAAACTGTTCTGATTAATTTATCAATGATAACCTCTGTCAATTATTTCAATTTTGTAAAAGACATAGTAAAAGAAATTTAAATAAATATACTGAAATAAATATTTTTCCTAACTATACTATGTGCTAATTACACTACTACATATATTTTAGCAGTAAATTATATTTACTACTAAATAGATATACTTAACCGTATCTAGACCTATTTTCATTACCACTGTAATTAATTTTATTAAGGTCGATAACAGGAAAAAAAAAAAATAAAAACAAAACTAAATTTAAAAATACATTTCTTTAACTCCAAACTATTTTTTTTTATTTTTTTTTTTCGAAAAATAGTTTCCTGTTTTTTTATTGATAAATAAAAAATAATACTTTCTCATTTGATATAAGAATGCAAAAAAAAAAAAAAATATTAACAGAATATATAAAATAAAAATAAATCTACTTCCATGTGGAGTATGAAAATTTTCACGCATAATTAATGATGTAATCGCGGAAAAACATGTCCAGTGAGTTATATCAATTTATTATGTCAATTTATGTATATCATTCAAAAGATGCATACTCTTATGCAATGAGAAGACAATTTATAAGTATTTACACATAATTTACAACTGAAGAAGAAATGAATATTATCTTTTAAATGACGGAAATTATATAGGGGAATGTAGTCAAGGTTGGCCTACTGTCTAGGTAGGCCACTCGCGTTTTTTTGTCAAGTTCACTAGCGCCACCTACGCGCATTTTTGTCGAAGCTTGTCTTAGTGAAACCTAACTTTTTGTTCAATTACATTTTCGGAAAATCGAAAATTGTGTTTTCTGTGACGTCGGTACAAAAAAAGCTCAAAAAAAGTTTTGTGCATAATGTGAAAAACCATTAATAAAAGATAAAAAACAAATTGAATCGTCAAGGCAAGTATGCAGAAAATTTGTGGGACTCATGGTTGAAAGGAAAACAAAGTAAAAAATCGAATCCCGAAACGTATTTCTTTTTGTTTACAACAATTCGGTAATGTTACTTACTGTCAAGGTCGGCCACTATGTGTTTAAAATGCGCAAAGTTGAGGACGAGCTACTTCATTTGCAAAAACTGCAATTCTGTATAACTCATAATATAATTGATCATCTTATTAATATTTTTATTTAATTTTATTAATATTTTAGTGCAAAACTTTTTTTTATTTATATTTATTTTTTTATATTGTTTATTGTTATTATTTTGTTATTTCATTAAGTTACAAACTGTAAACAATAAAGAATCAATTTTCCGTAACTCCAAACATGTTATTTTATTTTTTAACGATTAATGCCCTTTGAATTTTAAACATGGCCGACCTTGACTGTAATGGCTAACCTGGACTACAAATTTTTTTTTTTTTAAATCTTTATAACTTTTTCATTTTTAAACCTGTCAATTTACTTTGTACAGAAAAAATGTTCCTATTAAACAGGACTTTCCAACCATATACTTCAATTGTCCAAATTCATTTTTAAAAAAAAGTTATAAACAAAAGTCAAAAAGGTGGCCGACCTAGACTATGTTCCCCTATATAGGAAAAAATATTTAATTTCGTTACAATTTTCTTCAATGTTAACTTTTTTCCCTTTTTATTTAAGTTGTTTCGCAATTTGTTGCTCTAGAAAAATGTATCAAGGTTCCTTGAAAAGAATGTGTAGTATTTACACTATGAAATAGTTCTGAATGAAAAAAAAAATTATTATTATTTTTATTATTAATATATTATTATCAATACTATTATTATTATTATTATTTTTATTATTATTGTTATTATTACTATTACTTTTATTCCACTATTCTACTATACTCAACTTTTATTTTAACCCTTTTTCTCTCTCAAAAAACATATTACTATTATTTATTTTATCGTTAATTATATTTATAATTATTTTTATTTTATATTTTTTTATTTTACATAGTAAACGGGCTTAAAAAATGTAAATGCCCTTTTGTACAAAATGTACTAAAAAGTACTAGAATATAAAAAAGAATATAAAAGGAATTATTTACTAGAATATAAAAAGAAAAAATATAATAAAATAATAAAATATAATAATAATAATGAAAATAAAAATATAATAAAATATAATATAATAAAAAAATAATAATATAAATAAAATAAAAATAAAATATAATTATTCTTACAGCCACCGAAGCCAGCGGCATCGTGGAAAAATGTTCTTTCTGCGAAAGAAGATCCAAATATTTGTACTCAGAGAAATATTTACACACATCAAGAAGAGGTGGTTGGCGAAGAGGATTGTTTATATCTGAATGTCTACACACCTCAATTATCATCATCAAATTCAAATGCAATAAAGCAAAAAAATTACCCCGTTATGTTATGGTTTCATGGAGGTGGCTGGGTGACCGGAGCAGGAAATTTTGACTTCTATGGACCGAAATTTCTTCTCGATCATGAAGTTATTCTCGTGACAATCAACTTCAGGTATATTCAATAAAAATAACTCTAATACACCCAGAAAAAAAGTTATGATAATTTAAGAAAAAACACTGAAAAAACATTTTTTTAAATTCAAAAATAAGTATAACCAACTAAAAAAATATGTTTAAATTAAATATATTTTAAAATTAAATTACGTAATTTTTATTGAATCAAAATTATTCTGTTCAATTCAAAAATAATTTTTTGGTTGACTGTATAATAATGATAATTATTATGTTTGATCCAAATATATTGTTTACTCAGTGAATCAGTTTCTTAGCCCCGTTTTTTTATTCAAAATAAATTATTCTTCTAAACGAAAAAACAATTTTTTTATTCAAAGAAATTTCTTTGATTTAGACAAATTTTCTCTAAATCCAAGAAATTTGTTCTTCAAATCATACAAACTTTAATGATCAGAAGAAATAATTCTCTAATTTAAAAAGGAAAATTTCTTTGAAACAAAGAAATTATTTTTGAAGCAAAGAAATTTTTTTTTTTATCAAATGAAAATTAATGTTTTATCGAAGAAACAAATCAAAGAAAATGATTTCTTTAAATGTTTAAATCATCAAAAACATTTCTCCGGGTGCATATAATAATGTGTATATTTTGAACCTCTAATTTATAATATTATAATTTTTTCTAATTGACAGAATAAAATATAAACGATTTAATTTGTAATAATAATGGAGTTTTAAAATTTCGAAAATTAATTACAGATTGGGTCCATTAGGTTTTCTAAGTACAGAAGATTTAGTGATTCCTGGCAATCAAGGAATGAAAGATCAAGCCCAATCGATTCGATGGGTTCATGAAAATATTGCCGAATTCGGAGGCGATCCCAATAGAGTTACATTATTTGGAGAAAGTGCGGGCGGTGTCAGTACTCATTATCATATGATTAGTCCCCTCTCAAGAGGTAATTTATTTAATTAATCAACTATTAGACAAAATAGATAATTAATTAATAAAAAAAATTTATTTGATTCAAATAACCGATTACTAATTGACTATTATCAATAAAATATTTACTTGAATCAAATAATTTTTTATTTAAACCAATTAACAGCTATTTGCTTCAAATACTGAAATTTTTGGTCCAAATAAATATAGCATGAAATTTATATGACTTAAAAATTAATTAAAAATAATTAAAAATAATTTCCCTTAAATAAAAATTATTTGATTTAAGTATTATAAATATTCATTATTATTATTAATTACCAATTAGTTCAATCAAGTAGAAATAACCTAATTAATTTTCAGGTCTATTTCATCGGGGAATTTCACAAAGTGGAACAGCTCTGTGCCCATGGGGATTGACAAGGCCAGGACTGGCAAAAAAGCAAGCGGAGAAATTGGGAAAACTTATGGATTGCACAACGAGCGATTCACGAGATTTGTTGAAATGTTTGAAAACGAAAAATCACATTGACATTATTGCCAGAGACAGAGCTTTTCAGGTAAAATGAAAAGAAAAAATTCTAGCTAAATGAAAAGTTAAATAAATATAAAATAGTGTACGCGTAAAATAAACATTTCTTACATCATTTAAAATTATATTTAACGACGCGAGAAAAATTAATTCCACTCAGATTAACGTTCATGTTTTTAATAAATATATATATGTTACATATATTTGCATAAATTCTGACATACCAATAAGTCTACCGGAGAAATGATAAACAGAAAGTTTAATTTACATGTAAAATCTAGGCCGGTTGCAAAATAATTCTTGTCCTGCATCCTATGCGCAAATTATAATCTCTTGAATTCGCAATGTTTAATGAAAGGGAAAAATATGTTTGTGAGATAATATCATCTATAATATAAATATAAAAAAAAAATATTTATACAAAGTAAGAAAAAATTTAAGAGAAAACTTGAGTATTATAAGAGAGTAGAAAATATCGATCAAACATTAGTAGTTCAGTAGCAAACAAAGAAATTACTTTTTAATTAAATTATTATAATTGAAAAAGATAATTATTATAATTTAATTACAAGTAAAAAATTTAATTTTTATAATTTAATTACAATTAAAATATAAATTTTTATAATTTGTATACAATTAAAAATGTGAATTATTATTTACCATAATTTAGTTATTATTAACTGAAATTAAGTTATTAACTGTAATTTAATTATTAACTTCAATTAATTCATTTAATAATAATTAAATTTTTTATTAAAAATTTAATTAGTTATTATTAAAACAAATGAGAATTAATTTATTTTCTAGGTCTTCGACTACTGTCCAATGATACCATTTAGACCAGTTATTGAACCCAATCATCCGGGAGCATTTTTGAAAGAAGACCCGGCAATCAGTTTAAAAGATGGAAATATCGCTGATATTCCTTGGATGACGGGTATAAGTTCACACGAAGGGGCAATAAAGTCAGCAAGTAAGTTATAGTAGACAACGAAAAAAAATAAAAAATATACACGAAATTAAAAAAAAATATATACGAAAAATTAGTAGAAATTACTATTTATTAGGAAAAGTTACTAATTCAATAGCAAAAAAGACAATCACTAACTCAAATTAGTAAACATTTTTACTGATTCAAATTTAACTAAAGTATATATTCTATACACTTTTCAATTAAGAAACATTAAAAATCATATTTTTAAAATTAAAAAAATAGACAAAAAGTATTAAAAACTAAAATTAAAACAGTTTAAAATAGATTTGAAAAAAACTGATTTTGAATAAATTTTCCATAATTTAAAAGAATAGATTATACTAAATTTACCAATCAGGAAATATTTCTCTTCGGAAAATAAATGGGAAAAAATGTTATATAATTTTAAAAATATTTTTTTCCTTCTAACATATATGCATCAAAAATAGTTTTTAATCTTTAGAACTAAATAAAGCAGTGTGGCCTCAAAATATATAATCCTCTTAATAAATAAATGTATAATAACATATGTAAATTTTAAAAACAATATATGAATAATAATTAATTAATATTTTTTTTCTAGCTATTTACGGACTCTTCGATGGCAAACTCATTAAGGAACTAAATGATAATTTTGAAAAAATTGCTCCATTAAGTTTACTCTACGAAGACGTTTGTCCAAAGCATTTGATTAAGAATGTGACAAAAAGTATTCGCAAATTTTATCTAGGTGATCGTAATATTGATGAATCGACCAGATTAGAAGTAACTCATGTGAGTCATATTCTATTTATGGAAATTATTATTTTTTAATGACAATACCAAAATTAACTATAATTAACAAAATTACAAAATTTTTTATTTTCAAATATAAATTTTTTAAATAATTTCATAATCAAAATTTAAAAAATCCATTTATTAAGTACAAAATTAATTATTACCTACTGTTCATATTTTCAAAAATTTTAATAAAATTTCACGAAAGAATTCAATTATTTTCGAAAATTATAATAACTCCTTCGAAACAATTCAATTATTTTTTTAAATAGTAAAATCTTTACAAAAATTCAATGATTTTCAAAACAATATTAATTGAATTCCTCGAATGAATTCAAATATTTTTAAATATTTCCATAAATTCCAATTATGTCCAAAAATTTTAATAAATTCTTCAAAAAAATTCAACCATTTTTATAAATACTAAAATTCTTCGCAGGAATTAAATTATTTTAAATCAAATTTAAATAGAATTACATGAAAGAATTTAATTATTTTAGAAAATTTCCATAAAATTCAATTTCAACAAGAATTTAAAATTCTCTAAAAATAATTTAATTATTCTCAAAATATTTTGAAAAAATTCTCTATAAAAATTAAATTACTTTCAATGCAATTTTTACATATATTCATCAAAAAAATTGAAAGAATTCAATTATTTTCAAAAAATAATAAAATTCTTGTGATAAATATTCAATTATTTTAAATATACTTAATTTTAATAAAATTCTTTATAGAAATTCCATTATTTTCGAAACAACTTTAATTGAATTTCTCTAAAAAATTTCATTATTTTCAAATACTTCTATAAAATTCTTCATAACAATTTAATTATTTCTTAAAATTTTAATAAATTCTTCGAAACATTTCAATTATTTTTATAAATAGTAAAATACTTTGGAGGAATTCAATTATTTTCAAAACAATTTTAATTGAATTTCTTGGATGAATTCAAATATTTTTAAATATTTCCATATATTTCAATTATGTCCTGAAATTTTAATAGATTCTTCGAAACAATTCAACGATTTTTATAAATAGTAAAATTCTTAGCAAAATTTCAATTATTTTCAATTCATTTCTAATAAAATTCTTCTTCATAAAATTCAATTGCTTTCAAAATTTTCAATTAAAATTATTAAAGAAACTCCATAAGTTTAAAAAAAATTCAAAGAAATTCTTCAAAACAATTTAATTAAGATTTTTAAAAATTTTAATAAAATTGATTTCGATAATTCAGTTATTTTCCTAAATAATAAAATTCTTTGAAGGAACTCTATTATTATCAAATTTTTTGATAAAATTCTTTGCAACAATTTGATGATTTTCAATACATTAATTTTAAAATTAAAAATATTTAAAAAGAAAAATTATAAAAAAGTTAAGAAACAAAAAAGCAAACAACAACTAACTTCAAACTGCGAACAGATTACCGAAACATGTACTTTATTAGTATTAATTAATAATTAATTAATGTTATAATTATTTTTATTTTATAATTAATTCAAAGTTGTAATGACAAATAGAAATCATCAGAATTTTTTTCACTTCTTTTCATTAAAAGACTAAAATTTTGTTAAATATTATGTTTTGTCAAATGTAAATTAATGCAGATTTTTGTTCTTTACTTCTAAACAAAATTAGAAAATTGTTAAACAACTGCGATTAAGAAATTGAAAATTTATTTATTTTGCATTATTTTTGTTTATGAATCACAATTTTTTTAACAATATTATTATTTTGTTTTAGAAAAAGAAAAAAAATATTTGCACAGTTTCTATTTTTAATTTTATTTTTGGAACAGGATTTTCCACAGGAATTAAGACATTCAAAAATTTTAAATTCAAACCTTTTTTAAATTAAACAACTTATAAAAGTATTTTTATAAAACATGAAGATATCGATAACTCCGAGTCTTCGACTCGGAGTGATCGATTTCTTCATGTTTTATAATAATTAAAGATGACCGAGAGATAAAATCATTTTCATCCTTTTAATTAAATTATTATTTTCTACAATTTAAAATTATTTTTTATGAAAATAATTGAATTCCTTAAAAAAATTTTATTATTTATAAAATTAATTGAATTCTTTTTGGGGAATTTTATTAAAATAGTAGACTATATTGAAAATCATTGAAATTAGAAAATTTCTTGAAAATAATTGAATTTCTGCAATTATTTATAATTTCTCAAAAATTAAATTTTTTTAGCATTTTCGACAAAAATTTTAATTAGAAAATTTTTAAATTCTAATTATTTTTAAAATTGCCAATTTTAATTAATAAAGAAGACAGTAAGTACTTAAATTTAAAAGATAATTACCATTTTTTAAGTAGAAATTTTTTTTAGATGTACTCTGATGCGTGGTTTATTATTGGCGCTGACAATGCAGTGAGAGATCATCTCGACGTTTTATCATCGCCAATTTATTATTACTATTTCGCGTACAGAGGAAGCGTGTCATTTAGCAGAATATTTGGCGATGAAGTACGAGATTATGGAGTGAGTCATGCAGATGATCTTCAATATTTATTCCCAGTTGGAGAACAATTATTTCAAGAAACACCTCTTAGTGCCGAAGACAATAAAATAATTGACGTCATAACCGAACTCTGGGTCAATTTTGCAAATTCTGGGTGAGTTAATCGAAAAAGGAAATTAAACTAATGAAAAATTACGAAATAATTACAATTTCATAATTATAATAAATTATAATTATAAATAAATAATTATAATTACATAAAAATGTTTATAATTATTTTCAATAATAATAATAATAATAATAATAATAATAATAATAATAATATTAATAATAATAATCTATTATATAATTGGTTTTTCTATTTCAATTTTCAGAAATCCCACACCAGAAATTACAACAAATATTCCACTGAAATGGAAATCAGTGAAAACACACGATCTCGAATATCTTCACATAGAAAATTCAAAGAAGATGTTTATGGGTCGTAATTTACTTCACGATAGAATTCAATTTTGGAATAATTTACCATATCGTGAAGCACCTACTTTAAGGAAAGACTCGTTAAGAGATGAATTATAATCTATTTTTTTCTTTAAAAAAAAAATTAAAAATAAAGATTCAAATCCTCTTTTATATTGTTGAATCAAAGTGAAATTGAATTAAAGAGCAATTGAAATTCAATTGAAAAAGCAATTATTAATTGCACAATTTCGAAAATACAATTGGAATTCATACGTCCACTTTTGTAACAAAAGTTTCAATAACCATCATCATTGTTATAAATATAGTTTAAATATTCTGATAATAATTACTAATTTAATTACAGTATAAAAATAATTTACCATGTAAATAGCTAGGTATTTTTAAAAATTAAGAATAAAAATTAAAAATAAAAATTATTTTAATACAGAAATTAATCAATTATAATTATTTCTAGAGAAAAAATTTCCGAGAATTGTAAAAGTACCTTCAAAAGAAGTAAAAAAAATATTGATGACAATATTTTTTAAAGTCAGTAAATTCGAACTTAAAAATAAATAATATTCTAAAAGTAATCACATACTTTTTTTAAGATTACATACATTACTACAGACAATTAACCACAAGTCACATGTTCTTGAAATTCTAATACTGTAAAGTGCGATAATGTACATTTTTTATACCACCAGTTTCACTGCAAGTGCAACAATATTTCCTGTAGTGAATCTAGTATAGATATTCCTTGTACTTGTGTTTCAATAAGTGTTCCAATTTTATTACAATTAATTTTATCACCAACAAAATTTAAGACACAAACAGAATGAAACTGTTCATTTTTGTTTTTCTTGAATTAATTACTGTCATTGTCGTGATATCGAATCCTGTCGTGCAAATTAAAAATGGAACACTCGAGGGTATTTTTATGGAAACCAGAAAAGGAAGAAAAATTGCTGCTTTCATGGGAATTCCCTATGCAGTTCCACCATTGGGTGACTTAAGATTTGAAGTTTGTACCATTGAATAATTTTACAATAATAAAATAGAAAAAAAAATATAAGAGAGAACTCTTTAAATTTGAATTAGTAAAAATGAGGCTCCGGATCTTAAAAGGGCACTTTCCGCATAGACTTTACATGGTGAAAGTCCCCTTTTAAGATCCGGAGCCTCAAATGTTTACTAATTTTAATTAGTCACTGATTTTTTACTTTTGAATTAGTAAACATGAAACTAAAGTTACCAACGTTGATTCAACGAAAAAATTCAAATAAAAATTTTCTCTATAAAGTTCGGGATACAAATTTTTCTTGTTTATTTTTAACCCAAGTAAACCCTCCAAACCCTAAAATAAAAAAAAGGTGGGGTAACAGAAATTGTTATTTTTTTCTTACGGTTTTTCCAAAAATCACGAAATTTCAACGAAATTAATAATTCCTCGCCTTGGTAGCAATTTTTTTCTTCTGATAATTATTTATTTTAATGTCACGAGCCATTAAAAAAAAATATAACTTTGATTAATAAATAGTAATTACTACTAATTTTTCAGTAAATTTTACTAATTCAAAAGCAAACAGTCATATAGTCACTAATTGAAATTTAAATATAGAAAAAAATAATTTTTTCTAATTTTCAGCCACCGAGACCAGCTTTATCGTGGAGCAATGTGCTTTTAGCAAAAAATCATTCAAATATGTGTACTCAACGAGATTATTATACTTTTCAAACTGAAGTTGTTGGCGATGAGGATTGTTTATATCTTAATGTTTACACCCACGAAAATATAATTTCCCAACAAACAAAAGGAATGGCTAAAAATAATTATCCCGTTATGATATGGATACATGCCGGTGGTTTTTTTATCGGTACTGGGAATTCGGACATAACTAGTCCGAAATTTTTACTAGATCACGATGTTATACTTGTAACTATCAACTATAGGTATATAATTAACAAATTAAAATAATTACATTAAGAATTAATTTTTAATCACATGTTTATTTTTATATTTATTATATTATATTAATTTTTATATTTTTAACATTTAATATTATTAATATTTAGTATTTTTAATTAATTCAAATAGAAATATTTTCCAGACTAGGTCCGTTAGGTTTTCTGAGTACAGGTGACCTAATAATTCCTGGAAATCAAGGACTTAAAGATCAAGCGCAAGCAATTCGATGGGTTCATGAAAATATTGCCGAATTTGGAGGCGATTCAAATAAGGTGACATTATTTGGTGAAAGTGCAGGCGGAGTCAGTAGTCATTATCATATGTTGAGTCCCCTTTCAAGAGGTAAATTAATTAATTGATAATAATTATTATTGAAAATAATAATTAAAATAATACTATTATTACACTAAAAAAATTTATTTGACTCAAATAACCGATTACTTGTCTATTAATAAATAAATATTTACTATTGCATGAAATTATTTTTATCTCGATTTTTAATTAAATCAAATAAATTGGATTTGAACCAATAAATTTTGTATTCGAAGCAAATACCATATTCAATTGGCAGAAATAAAAATTATTTGATTCAAGTAAATATTTATTTGATAATAGACTATAGTAATCAGTTATTTGAATCAAATAATTTTTTTTTCAGTGTATTACTAATTATAATTATTTTAGGTCTCTTTCATCGAGGAATTTCACAAAGTGGAACAGCTTTTTGTCCCTGGGCTTTTAATACACCAGAGAGAGCAAAGAAAAATGCGGAAAAATTGGCCAAACTATTTGAATGTCCAACTAATAATTCGAAACAATTACTGAATTGTTTGAGAAAAAAAGCGCAATTGATATTATTGCTACCGACAACAAATTTGATGTAAATTTATTGTCAATTTTTTTATTTCATTTAGATTTCTTAACACAGTTTTTCTAAGGATATCAAATTAAGACAAAAGTCATATCAATTTGATATACTTAGAAAAACGGAATTAATTTATTTACATATTATATAATTTATTAAAAATTTTCTACTCTTATTTTTAGGTATTCGATTATTGTCCAATAATTCCATTTCGACCAGTCATAGAACCTGAACATTCTGGAGCATTTTTAACAGAAGACCCGGCTGTTTTGATAAAAAATGAAAAAATAATGGATATTCCATGGTTATCGGGTTTTACGTCAGACGAAGGAGCTTTCAGAGCTTCCAGTGAGTTTTAAGTCAATAAAAAATTTTTATATTTCTTCAAAAAAATCTAAATCTGATAGAAAACTATTTTTACTTTAATTTACTACTTTTATTATTACTGAAATTAAAATGCAAAAAAAAAATTAATTCATTAATTGGTTTAAGAAAACATATATTTTTTCTATTTACGCACTATAATTATTAAAATAAACTGCCGTCTGACTAAAAACTCATCTTACTACTGAAAATATGTGTCTAAATATTAAGAAATATTTTTCGCTGAAACTTACTTTACTATTAATATAACAAATATTTTTAATAAATTGTTGTCTGACTAAAACTTGCTCTTACTACTTAAACTGCTACTAAAAAAATTATATCATTTTGTACGACTAATACCGACTGTCACTACTGAAATAAAATTTATAAGATTTGACGACAAATTGTCTGACTAAAATTCACCTTGACTACTGACACTTTATTTTTACTACTGATATTAAAATTACGAGAATACATCCCTATCTGACTAAAATTGACTTCTACTACTAACAAATTTACAAAAATCTTAAAGTTATGTCTGACAAAAATTGAATTTTACTACTGATACTGAAAAAATTCTTCTTTAAATAAATATTATTTAATCATTATTATTATTCCATAGGAATTAAGATTGTCTGACTAAATATTACATTTACTACTAATTCTAAAGAGATTTTCTGCAATTATGTCTGACCAAATTTTGCTTGCACTACTTGCACTAGATTTATAAGTAAAGCACTCATGTCTGATCAAAAATCTCCTTTATCACTGATACTAAAAATAATCTGAAACGTTATGTCTGACAAAAACAGTCTATCACTACTGACATGAAATTTAAAAGTAATTTAAAAAACAAAGTCAGACTAAACCTGATTTTAACTACTGTCACAAAAAAAAACAAATAAAAAGTAGTTTAAAAAAAGTCTGACTAAAACTAATTTTCACTACTAACAGAATTAATTAACGACTAACTAATTACGAAACATAAAAATCCATCTGATCGAAATTTCTTTTTACCACTATCACATCAAAATTCTCAGAAATCCCAATTTTCGTCTGACCAAAACTATTTTTAACTACTGAAACAAGAACAATTTTTCCTAAACAAAATTTGTATCGTTTTCTTAAATTTAGGACTTTTTGGTGTAAAAAATGGTGAACTACTTACACAATTCGATAAGAATTTCGAAAAAATTGGACCAATGTCAGCATTATGTGACGACAATTACTCGGAAAATTCACTTAAAAAAATATCAAAGAGTCTACGAAAGTTTTATTTCAATAATCATTCTCTCAACGAATCGAGTCAAGCTGTAGTAAACGTAAGAATTTCTCAACAAAATATTAACCCAAAATATAATTCTAACTTAAAAAGAAAATTTAGAAATACAAAATTTTTTTTAAAAATTTTTTAAATTAAAGAAAAAAAAATTTAAAAAAGTAAATAATTTCTTTTGCAGATGTACACAGATGCCTGGATTCTATTTGGAAATTACCAATCCCTACGTGAACAATTAAAATATTTTTCCTCGTCAATGTACTTTTATTATTTCGCCTACAAAGGTAGTACAACATTAAGTGTTCTATTTGGTGATAAATTCAACGACTATGGCGTTTGTCATGGTGATGAACTCCAATATTTATTTCCATTCGCCGAGCAACTATTTCCCAATACACAATTAAATAAAGAAGATCACAGAATGATTGATCTCATGACTAATCTATGGTTCAATTTTGCAAATTCCGGGTAAAATTTTATACTCAACTATTTTTATCAAAAAAACGAAAAAAATTCCCATGAAAAAAAATTACAACTTATTCAAATGATAATAACTAATTTATTAATAATTAATTATTTAATTAATAATAATTAATTATTTATTTAAATATGTCACAGAAATCCAACACCGGAAATTACGGAGGACATTAAAACGCAATGGGAGTCAATAAAAACTAATTCCTTGGAGTATTTTCACATAAAAAATTCCAAAGACTTTTTTATGGGAAAAAATTTATATTTAGAAAGAATGGAGTTCTGGAAAAATTTAACTACTATTAGTAATGATTTAAAAAATAATGAATTACTTAAAGATGAATTATAAACAAAATACAATTTTATTATTATTAGTATTTTTATCACTATTATTATTATTATTATTAAAATTATTATAATTATCATTACTATTATTATTATTATTAAAATTGTTATAATTATCATTACTATTATTATTATTAAAATTATTATAATTATCATTACTATTACTGTTTTTTTTTTTTTTTTTTTTTTTTGCTTAGGGACTTTTGGGAAATCTGCCTACAGATACCTTGGATTCCGCACTCCAAGGTTATGTGGGGTTGGTGTGATAAAACAAAAGGAGATAAAAAAAGAAAAAAGTAGTATAGCTATGCCGGTTCTAGGACATATCGGTAATGTAGATTCCTACTTACCGACCGCGAGGGTAAGTTACAGGGCGTTAGTGGGGTATATGTCGGTAATTTACCGGACGTTGGTGGGGGTATAAGTTTCTGTCACTAGATGGCGTTAGTGGGGTATGTATCGGTAATTTACCGGCCGTTGGTGGGGGTATAAGTTTCTGTCACTGGATGGCGTTAGTGGGGTATGTATCGGTAATTTACCGGCCGTTGGTGGGGGTATAAGTTTCTGTCACTAGATGGCGTTAGTGGGGTATGTATCGGTAATTTACCCGCTGTTGGTGGGGGTATAAGTTTCTGTCACTAGATGGCGTTAGTAGGGTATATGTCGGTAATTTACCACCCGTTGGTGGAGTACCTGATTTTAGTTAACCCTTTTAGCTTATGCAAATTCCACCCACTATCCACCCCTTTTGGACGTAGAATATGCAAATACCACCCCCTCCCACCACCCACTCACCTATGTAAAATACATTGCACTTAGTTAACCACCACCACCCCCCCACCCACCTACTTTTTTTCTATTATATACATATTTCCAATACTACCACCCACCACCACCCACTTAGTATAAACCAGAAATTTCAAAAATCATATAGAGAAGCGCAAGGGACTAAGCGTTCGCGAGATACCGCGCATGCGTTGTGGGTAGTGGGAGTGGGTGGTGGTGGGTGGTGTGGTAAGGCCCAGTGCGCAACAAAAGTGCGCGTACGGTTAACGCGTTGAGTGAGTGAAAGTTCCATGCGTCAGACCTGTCTGTCTGACTCTCACAGCTTGCTTCACTAATACTATAGCACCATAGGGATAAATGTATTGTCCAAAAATATGTAAGCAAGTTTCAACTTGTCTTTTTCCAAGATAACAATAGTATTATTTGAAAATCTTTAAACAAGCTTCAACCTGCATCTTGAATAGAATAAAGAGTTTGTCTAAAAAACCTTCAGACAGGTTTTAACTTGCCTGCAGATATTAACAAAGACATTCCTTAAGAAACCTTTTAGTGACGTCATTTTATGCGAGTTTGAACACGTCTTCTAAATGTCTCTTCTTTTGAGGTAGTTGCGTGCGCAGTCGTTAAAGTGAGGGTAAAAGAGTGGGAGTTGAAGAAGAAGAGTGGGGGTTGAAGGGATATAAGGTAGGTTGGAAGCAACGATTCGACACTTCTATTAAAATTTCCAGCAGTAGCAGCAACAGTATTATCAGTATCAGCAGTACCAGCAGCTACAGCATCTACAGAAGTATTAGCAGTACTAGTAGCTTTAACAACTACAGCATCATCTTCTCATTTGATAGGTAAATTTCATTTCTTTAATAAAAACATTTTGTATTCCAAATTAGTTTTTTAAATTTAATATTAAAAAATCAATCTTTTATTTCTTTGCTTACAGATATTAAAACAATGGACTTCCAAAAAGTCAACGCCACTGGTCGCATGGAGAGATTTCTACCAACGAAGCCGCTTTCTGAATTGACTGTAAATGAGTTATACAACGTAACTAAAATAAACAAAGTGCAGACGAAATATGGTTCTAGGATTGTAGTAGACCTGGATGCTACATTTACCACTTTTCTACCGGCAAGGTTTTCAAAACTATTTGAAGATGACCCTACCTCCTTCACAATGATGGAAGAAGCCGTGCAATTGGAAAAGTTGCGATTAAAGTATATTGGTGGTAAATTTAATGTTATTGAATTTGAATAAGAATAAATATTATAAGATTACACTGTAAAAAGTATGTAAATATTTAAATGCTTATAATAATAAAAAAAAATTACTTTTAAATTTCTTCTTTTATTATTCTACCTTCATATTTTAAACAATTTTTTAAATAATTGTATTTTATATAAGTAAATTTTTATTAAAGTTAAAGGAAAAAAATGTTTCAAGTATATAATATTAAAGGAGTAGGTAAATCAAGAAAGAAAGACAACATTTTTTAAAATTATAAAATTTATTTATTCATATGTATATAGAAAAATTAAACTTATTACAATAATGTTTCATAATTTTCATAAAATGATTTTAAATTAGTATTCACATCATCATCATCCACTTCGTCGATACCATTTGAGAAGTTTCTCAGTTCACTCGTTACATTCAAAAACCAATTTCGAAGCTTAAATATATTGTTTACTGCACAATTTTCAGTTTGTGTAATATGATGTGTACATGTAGGTGGTAATAATTCAGTTTTAATATTCTTAAACGCTGGACAGTCAATTTCTTCTAAATTGTATACATTCATTAAATACTTTTCTAACCACTGTTTTTTTTCATAACCTTTAACATAGATAGTTTTTGCTCCTCGTAATGCATCTTGTAAAATGGTTCGCACTTCATCGTAACACACATCTCCAACCATCCAAGGGATTGAATGATAGTTGTTTGTTAACCACAGGTTTTCACTTTTATAACGTCCAGGTAGAGAATTCCAAGCACAAGGTGGTTCAAAGAGGTAAACTCTTGGTTGAGCATCTGCCTCCAGAGGAACTATAGCCAACTCTTTGAAAATAAACTCATTGCAGGGTTTTTTAAAACCTTGAACGTCTACTATGAACTCCATTTTAGAATAGAAATGAGTATCTGCTTCAGAAATATGTCTTATATACTTCTCCACTTCACCCCCACCACTTTGTTTCCCTCTCCACTCCTTATAACTTTTTAATAATACCACTGATTGGTTTATACTGAACTATACGATCATGTATGACGAGACAATATGCAGTTGTATCAGCAGGCATATTTTCTCTAGCTTCAAATTCTAAACGTACATCGACTGAAGACTGCTTTAAAAACTCATTTTGTTTCGAACAATCAATAACAATTAAAGGTGCTTTTGATTTAAAAGTATTAATAGCTAAAGTAGGTTCTGGATCTTTTCCATAATAAGAAGATTGAAAATTAGCATACATATCATATAATAAAGAATACTGATTTTGATCAAAATTTAAATTTAAATTTCCATAAGGGTAAGATTGTGAGTTCAAAAAGAGTTTCACATTTGTAATATTACAATGATCAAAGTAACAGGATGTATTTTTTAGTTTATTCTTTCTTCCAGTTTGAAATCCAACAATTACATATCGTGGTTTCTCTAATTGAGATGAAGATTTGAGTTGCCACATAATTCTTGAACTTTCTGGAAGTAAAGGATACTCATACATTTCCCACGATCGGAAACTCATAGAAATTAATGGATCCTTCTCAATAAATTTTAATAATTTAATTTTATTACTGTCAGATGGTAAAATATATGGTACTAACCATTCAATTTTATTAATTGTAATTTTAAATTCTTCATTATTATCAAGATTTCCTGTTTGAATAACAGCATTTAAATCATTTCGTGATCTTATCAAAATGAGTTCATGTTTAGCATTTACAACAATTTTCTTATAATCTTCAGCAAAACCGAAAAGCATACTAAGTGGAATTGTTACATTAAAATAACCATCTTCTATAGTCATTTTTAAATCCAAAGCAGAATATTCAAAGACACCTGCATTTCCAACACGTATAAGTTGTGAAGGAGTTAGTGAAACCAGGTTTTTTATAGTTGAAGTATAACCAACATATTTGCATCGATCAATCTCGATACCATTTAATTCATAACGAATTTCATCAAATAAGTAGGCTATAGCATTGTTAATGAGATCAACATTTTCTGTTAAAGTATTTCCATCATTCTTTGTCAAGCGTCCAAATATATGTAAGGAACTGCTACTCGGTAGAATAGATAAATCCTGATTCTGAACTATAATCCGAATTTCATCACTATTGTTGAAAGATGATGATGCATATGGTTGATGACTATGAATTTCATAATTTGCTATAGATTCATCAAAATTCACTTGAGTTGGAATGCTGAGAATTTCCTCCATTTTTCTTATAACAACGACACAAAATGAATAGATAGAATTTTTCACCTCTCTTCTGCTTCTTCTTCTTCTTCTTTATTTTTAATGTCTGATTCGTAGACCAAGTTTCTTCAGAAATATTTGATTCTGAGGTGTTAACACCTTGCGAGTTACATTCACACTGCTTTTCTTTACACATGTTGGTTCACTTTTATAACTACCACCAACTTTTCTTTTTTGATTGTAAATAATTCCCATTACACTAATTTTATATGTAAACGTATTGTTATTGTCTCTCCTCTAAAATTGACTAAATTACCGTCCTGATCAACTATACGCAGCTGAATATTATATATTGTCTTTACGGTGACTGGATAGTAAATGACATTATTTGGAACTTCTATGATTTTATATCCAGTAGGAACAGAAGGATAAAATTGATGTATTGTATGTACTTTCTTTCCATTAATATATGATCCTGTTGTAATATTACACTCAACACGTATAGCATTCACCTTCATTATAGATATAATTGAATCAGAAACATTAACTGTATTTGCTCCAAGAAACTTGGGAGAAAATCCAAATATTTGTCCTATACCATTTTCTTGTCTGAAGTCAATTTCACGATTAGATGCAATTGTACAGTGTAATGTATTTGTATCAACTATCACTTTTAAAACAAGACCAGTGCCTCTTATTCTATGTTCAACATGCTTTTTAATATCTTCGATTTCATAACTACCTGTAGGTATTTCTACATGGAAACCATCTATATAAAATGTATTAGCACCCTTATCAATGTTGGGAA